AAGAGTGAGTGAGGAACCGGAGAACAACTCCTATGATGTGTGAGAGTCTCTCTGGGAAAACAAGGTGCAGCAGCACATTACAACGCTGGATCAGAATCGTTTTGATCATCGGTCTCCGAGGATCAGAAATCAGCAGAACACTGAAATATAACTGCCTTTCCTGACATTTGGAAACTACTTAATAAGAAGCCTTACTGTGCCAGTATCCTGTCAGTGCTGATCATCATCACCAAACACAGAGGAGAGCAGATTTTCTATACAACAGAGGCCAGTGCAAGTTTTCTGGACATTGGGCATCATTCTGACCATGCAATACAATGCTTTGAATTTCTCTTTTTGCCATTAACTTCACAATTAATAGTCACGATTGACGTGTTTGTTTTGTCAGCCCTTCTATGAATATAAACAGCTGTATCTCATTTTTGTGTATCTATATTGCGTACTTGTTCATTACCTTAAAAAAAACATCGGGGAATTTTTGGATTTTAGCCCCTTAAAGTGTGCGCTATGAATAAATACATTTGATTTTCACATACTTAAGCCGACTTCCAATTATTGGCTAAGCTCGCTCACAGTGCAAGTAATGCAACACTTAAGCCGACTTCCAATTATTGGCTATGCTCGCTCACAGTGCAAGTAATGGAATCTGTGCTAAGTGTGCATTATGGCCTCTGAAAAAACCCACAAATTAGCTGTAAATGTTTGTGTGTCTGCTGTATCCTAATGTAAAGATCTCTACCCTTTTAGTGTGACGCCATTGTCTGCTGTATCCTAATGTAAAGATCTACCCTCTACCCTTTTAGTGTGACGCCACCTCAGCTTCAGCCTTTTTTCCCCCAAAGATGCACACGACAGTGGTGTAATAAATGCACAGTACGAACAGAACAGAAGGCTGTCCAACGTGTCGAGCATCAGCAGGCGGTGGACAGGTGCCAACAATCTGTGGTGTTTCACATTAGGACTGACGGCCGTTGCATTCTTCTGTGACATTTTGTTTTAATATGTTGATAAAATGACCTCTTCAACACGCACCTGACCTCATCCATTCATAATTCACATTATCAAAACAGCATGACCTCACTGCTTAGAAGCTACCAGGTGGCCCCGGCCTCTTGTATCACATTACTGCTCTTACAAAGGAGTATTGTGCTTTTTTTGCCAAGTCAGAAAAATTGCAGAATCGTTTAATTACGATCCACGTGTATAACAAAAAATCTCCCCCATGAAGGAGCCTTACAGCTGTCCAGCAAGGCTAGTTAGGCTAGTGTGGAATGAGTTGGCCAAAGAATCGCATGAGTATGAATGCAAATCAAACCCTGTTATGTTGACAAATCCCAAACCCAGTTAAGAAAAGACCACAACTAACGGTGGACAAACTATCAGAATAAATTATTTAAGATGAAGCATGGAACGCATCAGCTCACTGTTAACTAGAATAAAAGCCAGAAAGCATTCTGGGTAGTCGTGTAACGATACACTCTCACAATACAACACAATCAGGATGTTCCTTGTTCACGATACAATGTGAATCTTTACAAATTTGAATATTTTAGTAGTTAAATTTTTAATAGATTCATGATGCATCTAGTTTTAAGAGCTTTATCTGCAAGTCATAAAATAAACTAAAAACATGTAAGCCAAGTTTGACAAAAACAACGCCTGTGACACAACATAACATTTGCTGCTGGTCATCACTGACTGTATACTCCAGCCATAAACCATCCTTTAAAACTCAAATGACCCAGATTTATATACGGTTATTCACATATTTTGGATTCCTGCAGTGGAAACACATCCAATCTTTAGCTTCTTGTCACCAGTGTTGGTTTTAGTTTATTATTCAGTCTTGATGGTTGGCGTTCATCAACGGTTTTTATACCGGGACTCTTACCGTCTGAAGCCTGGATGTGGTAGCCTTCACCCCGGCCCGGCTTCACCTCCAGCAGCTGCATGGTCCGGTCCAGGAGACCGTGGATCACTTCGAAGCCTGGGCTCCTGTTGTAGTAAACGGCACAGAAACGGCGACTGTTCCTCGCTCCAACATCTGGTCGAGGGGTGAGAGGATGAGGGTGGAGGGGGAGATAAACAGGGCTTAGCAAGTGACTTACAAGGTTTGTGTTAAACATATGTATGTGGTTGTGAATATTAAATTTTATTTGCGCACACACACACCTTTGGTTGGGTCCTGCAGGACAACATCAGAGATCTCAAACAGTTTTAAGGGAAGGGGCATCTTCCTGTTTGCCGCTATGGTCTTCAGAAGACCTGCAAGCAAGGTGGTGCGCGCCACCTAGTGGGAAATTAGAAGAATTACACTCTACCCATTGATTTTATATTCTAATTCATTCAAATAATTTTAAATATTAAAAATATATTAATTAGTTCTTCACCTGGAACTCTGCTGTCTTAGGGTTGGAGATGTGAACAGCCTTAGTTTCTGAAATCTTCTTCCCAAGTTTATCTGCGATATCATCTTGGGAACACTAAAGAGACAAAAAAAGGAGACATTCAAAGGAGTGTTTTAGAGGAGGGAAAAAACTGTTTCCATTATTTTTGTTTCTATTTCTCCAATTTACCAGGGCAAAGTTGAGGGCCTCTGTAAAACCTGCAGCTGCCAGGTCTTGTCTCAACAGCTCTGTCAGTTTATTCAGTGGAAACTGTGAAAGAATGTGAAAGAAACAAAACACACACATTTGTAAAATAATCACATTTGTCCGTCGCCTGGACATCAAACAAGGCCGTCCATGTACCTGGTTGGCTACGGTGTAGGTGCGAGGTGTGGTGCGGGTGATGTTGTTGAAACCGTAGGCCATGGCAGCATCCTCCATGATATCACAGGCGTGAATGACGTCTGAGCGAGTAGGTGGGATCTCAACTTCAATCTCATCACCAACACCAGTAGGCTGCGAACGCAGGCACATCCTGGTGAGCAGCTGGGCGAGTTTCTCGGTCGACTCACTATCAAAAGGAAAAAAAAAAAATTTCAATGATCCTCATGAAAACGACTGTGTTAACGATTACCTTTATTCGATAACCTGCTTGTTTTTGTGAACATCAACTATTACTTACTTGATGCCGACTTTTTGGTTGATGAACGCACTGGACAGCTTCTCCTTCCTGTACGCCAGCTCCTAAGGACCACATCATTAAAAATATTAGCAATAGATTCTAGCGTTTTAAAAATTGAGAATTTAATGGCATCCTAAGTAAAATGTGTTAAATAAAATAGAAGTACTGGGTATGTGCAGGTCTTGCCATCTGGGTACACCACCTCAGCCTCCTCTACACTGAAAAAGAGAAGGAAAAACAAATACATTTTCATTCATTATTACTGTGAAGGTCCTCACAGTACATGTGAGAAAAAAAACCCTGATATCTTAATACAGGACAACAGTCTGTGACAGGTTTTAGAAGTCAGCTTCACAATCTGCCCCAGAGATGTTAAAAAGTAACAAAGTGTAATAGCGCCTCCTGCAGGTTGTAGACATGAAGCATCACGTGCACAAGTTACAAGTCTACAAAACCACAACGACGCAACCTCAAGCCTGTTTTACCACATTTCATCATGATACAACATTTTTGAGTTAGTCTGAGGGTGAGGGTGAGGAGTGACTCACGTGAAAGGCTGTGAACAGTACTCGCTGAACATGGTCACCATCATGTCCAAGACGATTCTGGCCTGGAGAGAGACAAAGGTCGGAATTAAAAGACTAAATCAATGTGTGGGGCCCACAGTGGTCTACCTGCTTATCAGTTAGAATGAAGAATTTTGTTATATCTTGAGAGAGAGTTTTTCTGGCACTTGTCCTCATTTAATAATTCTTTACTTTATGACTGGTTTCTCATTACAACAAAAGCTGCACCTTGGTCACATCGGTGGCGGTGCATTCAATGAAGACATTCTTTGTCTTAAGAGTGATTTTTGAATGATCCCCTGGAAGACAAAAGACAGACGGGTCCATTATTCCCTCCATAAAATTAAAATAAATAATACAGAAATACAGAATCAAGCACTCTTACCATTAATAATGGGAGGCATTGAAAGGACAACGCCATTGCTATCATAAATCACAGGGTAGACAGGCTTGTCTTCAATAATGTGAAGGTAATGTCTCAAATGGCTGTCTGTCTATATCAAATAGGAGAACAACACAGCGTTAATAACAAACTGGAAGAGAAGTGATTTGACTGATTGATGTCAGATTAAATCCTCCATCTACCTTGTAGAGGCTCATGAGCTGAGAGGCAGTGTACTCTTGGCTCTGGTTCAGAGGTTTGAAGCAGATGTCCCCGGGGGCTTTGGCCGTGTACGTGAACGGTCCAGAGATGGTGTCCAAATCATGAGTTCCAATTGCAACAAGACTCCTCTTCCTGTTAAGGAGACAAGCCATTTTTTTTAAATCCCATTTCTGCACAGTGTGACATATTTACACTAATGCACCATGACAACTAAAGTCAACTGATGCTGGGCAATAAAGAATTACATTAAAAAACACATATCACACGTTTCAAAGTTTTCAATATATAAAAAATAAAAAGATCGCACATAAAAATAGCCATTTTTTTTTAAAAATAAAAAGATCGCACATAAAAATAGACAATTTTATTATTCAGTACAGAGAATAACAATAGTCTGTCCTGACCTGCAGATATTTTGATGGAGTTTCTCCTGCAGCTCAATAAAGCTGTCATATCGCTCCTGTGTGAAGGTGATGTTCCTCAGCACTGCTGCCACAGCATGTGGTCTCACTGATGATGGCTGCACAGGGCAAGAGGGGGAACACACGACTTCTTACGTCAAGTCACAACATTCCAGTTTAATATATTATTAATATCTGCTACAATTACAATTCCCCACACCTCAGGAGTAATGATGAGCCTCTGAGGCCCGCCGCTGACTGGGCTGACACGCCTGTAACGAGGAGCCTCTAACCTGGGGCAAAAAATAAAAGTGTCAGTACTCTGTCCATTCATCTGTGCAACTAATCCATACATTATACTGTGTTTATCATCATCAAACTGAATTACACTTCAATTGTTTTATTTTATTGTTTAGACATAACATGTATTTTACACAGTGTTTTCCAAAAAACAGAAGTTAGAATACCATTATGCCAGGCTTAATACAACTCACTTGTTTCTGAAGACTTGAAGTCCACGGACCAGTCCCTCCAGACAGAGCAGGTCATAACGATTAGCGGGTACATCAATTTTGTACAGGATGACATCAGATGCACCTGACGCCTTGGAGTCTCCCTGCTCTCGACTAATTATCTCCTTTTCTGAGGTCTATAAGTGAAACAACAAGTGCCAGAAAAAGTAACAAATTACACTGCTGTAGTCAAATTATATTATTATTTTTTTCTTGGATTTCAGGACTTTTAACCATGAAATCAAACCACCCAAACCTTTAACAGCGAAAAAAATATATATAAAAAATTCACCCACATCAGTGTAATAATGAAGTCAGAATAATAAGATGCATTAGAGTACTGTTTGTTTTGCAAAAATAATTATAGAATTCACACAATAAGCAAGCAATGAGGTTTGAGACCAGCACACTTTCTCACAACAATGAAAATAATGGTTAGCTTTGCATCGTTTACAGCACACACAATGCAAATAAATTACAGTACATATGTCTTTTATATTAATATCTCATCTTAATGGAAGGAGTATACTCACAATCTCATCCAGCTCCAGTCCAAATTCAAAACAAAGCTCGTCAAACTCCACGTCGGCTAAAATAATAAGCAAACATTACACATTATTTTTTTTAATTTATTTTTTAAATGGTCACGTATGTCAGGTGGCCAAGCGGTTGTGTATAATCTGATACTAGCGTTACATTTTAAATGATAGAAGCCAGCACAAATGATGCAATCACATCAACATCTGAAACCTTTGCTGTAAAGCATCTCATATTTATTATTTATTCCTTCCATCATTAAGTTACAGAAAAATGTTGTTTATAATGGAAATTAACCAGAAAAATAAACTTTTGAATTATAAAGCAAACTAAGAAACTCCATGTAGTTAGCCGTATGCTACCATTCAAGACGATGAGTTCAGAGATCCCTTTCAAATGTTTTGTCTGTTTAAGCTAAATGAACGTTTAAACAGGTGAAATGTTTCTTTACACTTTGGAGAATGCAGAAAAACAACTTACTGTACGACCTGCCCAAAGCTTTGAAGAGAAGATCTCTTTTTACTCCGACAGTCGGCATGTTAGCAGCTAATCCTCCACAGCGCTGTTAAAAAAAAGGACCCCAACTAGCCGGGTAGGGCTGTCTCTGTGTTGCCTGAATAAAAAGCATTTTCCTTTTTTTAAATTAACCAACCTTATCATATAGTAAACAGCGTTCTTTTATTTTTTTAGACATTATAGAATCAGGTAGTTAACAACAACAACCATTTCTACTACTACTACTACTGATAAAAAATAATAATAATAACAATAACAGTCAGTATGGCACTTCTTTTTTCCGTATTTCACTGATGACAATATTTGGGCTTTGGGAAAACTTATACACATGCGAAGTCCAGACTCCACACAGAAAGATCTACCAGAGAGTGTCCTAACAACATTTTTCATTATCATACATGATACATTAATAGTTTACGATAATGCTCCTTATATTTGGTGCAGGAAGCACTTGGGCTCCCCCTAGTGGTGTATATGGGAATGTTTTTTTGGTGTGTCTATACATGTGTTATATAAATTATACTAGTAGACCAAGTGCAATGTGCTTTAGCTGAAAGTGGGAAGATAATCTTATTATTCAAAAATTATTTACTTTTGTACATTGTGCTTAGCTGTAGAGGTACTTTAAAATATTTTCAGGAGGTGGTACGTCACTTGAAGAACCACAGTATTATCTGGCATATTTCTATTTGCATGTGACTATTTATAAATAACAACTTGATCCGTAGCTTTTTATGACCGTCAGTAACCCCTGACTGTAGTCTCTTCATGCCTTGCGTCCATTTGGGCCGGCCACTTACACGCGCCACCTCCATGAATCCAATCGTAACGCAGACAACGTTCACAAAAAGAAAAACACTTCCGGTCTCAGCTGGAGGAAATGTGACGTACAATTGTGGAGTGAATGACTTGATGGACAATTCCTCGACAAAACGCTGCTGTTGAGTTTGACCACAAGCGGTGACTTGGACCATTAACCATCGGCACCAGACGCACCCTGTGTCACTTTAGGAGCAGAAACTCTCATCGGTAAGTTTTTATTTTGGTTGTAATATTCCTTAATACCTCGAATTTTACCCCATCCTCCTTTATTTTACCTGAAAAAAAATAAATCTGCAAATTAAAATTATGTTACCGCAATGCTTAATGTAAATATCTGACGGTGTGTTAACAGATGTTAATTATCAGATTTATTTCTTCAAATTTGAAGAAAAAGATACTAAGTTTTCACCGTGCGCACTTTTACGGAGACATACGGGACAACACTGACCCCGCAGGTTTTTTGTGAATGTAATTAGCTCAGGACCGTTCTTGTTTTTAAGCTTAAATATATAGAGTTAGTATCGAGTTACACGTTACCATTGCCATTTTTGGAAAATGTTTTTATAAATTACATAAGTTAAAATTGAAGATTCGTCATAAAATATAAAACATTTTATATATTAGACCAAGTAAAAGACAAACAGCTTATTATTACCTAAAGTTGCTCTTGTGAAAAATTCAGGTTAATTTAGAGCAAATCATGTGCACTGGCATTGTTAGTTGGCCAATCAAATTCAAAATCATACATTTCAGTATCTAGACACAATTTGAAATCTGTGTCAACTCATGGCAATTTCTTAACCCCAAGCTGTTCGACATTGTTTACACAGCTGAAGGGAACTGCTCTGCTCCAGCGGTTATAAAAACGTTGGCAGGTTCATCATGGATGCGCTTGTACATCTGCTCTGGAGGTTTATATCCCTCTGAAGAGCAAATCAGACGAGTTAGTGTCATAACAATGTTAAGATATTTGGGCCTAAAAAAAATTTAAATATATTTTGTCCTTTCAGTTTCTTCAAGGAAGTGTTGTGAGTCAAACCTACTGGTCAACATTTGTTTTGTAGAGAAGCTGCCGATTTATCAACATAATCCAAACTGCTGTTTAAACTTTTTTCTGTTGTTTCTTTTATTATGTGATTGTTTGAAAAGAGCAAAACAGTCCATTTGTTTGGAGCTGCTCTACGCCCACATGTCCAATCAGCACTCGCACCTCGCCACACGCACACAGTCCTGTGACATGACCTGTGGGACACAGTGTTGTGTTGGTGCGTTGTCTCACCACAATGGCCATGTTGAAGCGTCTGCAAGACTTTAGCCTGTATGCTAAGAACGATGACATCAGCACACAAAGATCCCATTCACGCCAACTCTCGAGGAAGCAATGAGCCCCACTCACAAACGCACACACGAGTGCATGTCTGCTCACCCCACCGATACAGAAGCTTTGCTACGCTGTTGCTCAATTTAAACCGTTGAGCAGAGGTCACCAGTAAAGCGTCTACATGTTGCCTAAAGCCACCTGTTGAGCAACTTCTCACAGTAGTCAGAATTTCAGCTGTGGGTCAATGTGTGAGTGTGTGGCATTTCAGTCTGCCTTTTTTGGTGCTTTGTTCAGACATATTTGATTTACTCACATACATTCAACTGGATGCATATGTGAAACTGTGCATTAAAAAAAAATCAGTAGCAAAATAAATAAATAAAGTCAATAAGTAACTTAGCATATGTGAAACTGTGCATTAAAAAAATTCAGTAGCAAAATAAATATAGACATGGTGTGTTTTAAAAGTCAATAAGTAACTTCGTGTTTTGCTTAGTTGCAAAACAATTTAATAAAACACAACAATATCTAAAGCTTATAAAAAATAAATATATATAATGTTGCTGGCTCTGGACCTAAAAAATATAATAAAATAAATATATATATAATGTTGCTGGCTCTGGTCTTAGACATTTGAACTTGGTGCCAGTGGGACAAATATTTCAGCCAACAGCCATTAACATGCTGCTGGTACATCCACCAGGGGCTGAAGTGGCCTCTGAGCCCTTATTTATCAAGTACAAATGTGTGACTTTGTTGCTAAAGCATTTTTTAAAATCCCTTTGTACAGAATACCTTCAGTTGCACAAGTGTATCAAACACAACAGCAGTGACCACAAAAGACCCGGCCTTTATGTTCTAATCTCGCAGGAAAGATATTTGTAATTCACCATGGAGCTTTATCAGACAATAATTAGAAACAGTGTTGTTGCTGCTGGTGGCTAAGTTGTCATGAGAATGAGTATTTTTTCATGTTCACTGGTCTCTTAAGTTTCTAAATGAGTACATTTAAAAAAAGTAAGAGTAAAGTTTTAGTTTCAGTTTTAGGGCCTGGTGATTTTTTTTTTATTTTTAAACATCATCTTGTAAGTAGTTCCACAGAGGATTAGCAAACCTGCTAAAGGGAAGAGAGTAGAAAAAAGGAACTGACTCCAGCTGTAAAAGTTATCTCACAACTTGTCCTTCTTCTTTCACCCCTGTGTCCGACACAGAGTGACTGCTTCATTAAGATGAAGCTGAAGGAGGACCTCAACCCACTTGTGCTGCTCCTCTTCCAACTTGTGGTGTGGACCTACACTCTCATCACCTTTCTTCCACAGTACCTTGTCAAATGGATGACCTCTGCCAACGGTGGTTTCTGTAGCTCTCTGGAGGAGCGGGCAAAGAGAATAAAAGCCCACTCAGTATCAGGCAGCCTGGAGGGACCCTACAGAGCTGTAAATGCTGCCAAGACGCTGGTGTCATCGATGCACCCGGGGGTGGACACCCTGGATAAGTTGTTGGAACACGCAGTCACGAGGTTCCCTCGTCGGGACTGTTTGGGCACAAGGGAGGTAATAAGTGAGGAGGGAGAAAAACAAGCCGATGGGAAAGTGTTTAAAAAGGTGAGAAAAGTCGTAGAGAGAATGTACGGTATTTTACTTTGTAGGTATAAATGCTGTAAAAGATGCTTCCTTCAAATTCATGATCTGAATACATTTTAAAAAGCGACCTGTTTACATGGATGTTTCATGAAAGAACCAATAAGAACCAGTTTTAATTAGAATAATATACAAATATGTAAGTACTGTAGTAATATAGTAAAATAATGCCAAAAACTGTTTGGTTTTGTCTTCAAATTACATTTTTGTGGCTTTCCAGAATTTCCCCACACTCTTCTAAAGGCATGGAGCAACTGAAAGTAAACAGATGAAACATGAGAAGTGAAAACTGCAAACTTATTATACAAAACCTGTTGGTTTGAACTTGTTGTGACTGTTGTATCCGAGTGGTTGCCAAACCTTGGAGTCACTGCCGGATCACTGAGTTCTTATCTCAGCAGCTGAGTTCTTGTAATCATTTAAGCCTCACTGTTGAAACACTGACTCATGTAAGAGAACACAAAGTAATTGTTCTTGCCGCACTGTACAGTCATCGTTACATACTTAGTTTCTGTGTAGGTGCAGTAGTGTCTGTTATCCACTAGGGGGCATCATATCCTCACCTTAAGCGCTCTCTCATTGTTGGGTAGACCTTAATACAGCTAACAAAATAAAATGCCATTTCCCTTTTCATAAATTCGAATACGTTCTCCAACATAACACACGCCAAAAAAAAAAAAAATCAGATTTATTTGTCTTTTAAATAGCGACTAAAAGGATAAAGGTGAATCATGGATTTAGGATTTTTTTTTTTAATAAAAGGTTAAACATGGCTAATGCAATGCACTTGTAAATTATTTGTCAAATGTCTTAAACTGCTCCATCTTATAACCATAAATAGAACTACATTTAAATATTTTAACACAGTTATTACAAGAACAAATAATAATTATTTTGACTTTTAAATTATTTTGTCTCTGTCCTGATTTCATTTCACTTATGCATAAAATATAAATCAACTGTATTGTGTTCTTCACTGTGCTGCTTTGTCTGCCCCTGCAGGTCGTTCTGGGTGATTACACCTGGCGCTCCTACGAGGAGGTCCTCACAGCAGCATCTCAGCTGGGCCGTGGTTTGACATCACTGGGTCTGCAGCCCAAAAGCAACGTTGCTCTCTTCTGTGAGACACGAGCCGAATGGCTAATAGCTGCCCAGGCCTGTTTCATGTACAACTACCCACGTAAGTCCAGAACATCTGCACGTATGTTACGTTAACACGCAATAAAAGAAAAGGGTTGAGCAGCTTAACCTACTGGTTCAGTTCTGTTCAAAAGACCAAAGAGGTTTTATGATGGACCAGGCATCCAAACACAGAATGAAATCTGAACCCTGCAGATATGTAACAGGTCATGGTGTGAATTCACCAACAAAAAAAAAAAAGCAAAGATGAAAATCTGCACGTACTGCAGATATTTCTCATACTTTCAGTTTGCTTGAGTTTATCCTGCTGTTTATCCTTTGGTCAGTTTATACAGTACTTTCCCATTGAACAACTTCCAACTGTGTGTTTGAGTTGATCGTAGCTGATTTACAATCTTTGTGTACGTGTGTGTATTGGTGTGTCAGTGTCTGTGTTAAACATGCAAGACCCAGCTGATACTGAGGAAGGTCAATGTGTCCCTCTTCACTAGCATTATTTAAGCACACCCTTGTGCCTTGATCGCTTTTCCCCCCACATCAGTCAAGGACACGTTATGTTAAATATTCACTGATTTTTTTTTTTTTCTTACCCGCTCTTATGGTTGAACTGTTAAGAAAGTAGTTACATTTGTAGAATTGTGGTATAAAGAAGAAACTACCATAAATAAAGGAAAGTTAAAAAAAAGCAAAAATCTCTTGTTATAGCCAATAACAAAGATACATTTTTGAGGTGTAGTTGTATGAGGACCCCGTACATGATACGTACATGTTTGATCTAAAATCTGAAGAAAGAGATTGTTTACTGAATCATAACTGTCAGCCAAAAACACATGGAAAAAGAAATGTTCCCTCTTTTATTTATGGTTAGCTTTAAAAAAAAATCGACATATTTTTGTCTTGTAGAATTTAAAGAACTTCTTCACCGTTGTTTGACTTATAAAAAGCCTAAAATACTTTTTTCTGTCGCTTTGTAAGCCTCTTTTTCATGACAACAAAATCAGTAATGAGATAAACCTAAACTAGTTTAAACACCAGGTGTTCGTTTCAATTAGCCTTCATGACAATGAATGTAGTTCTGTCTGGTGCTAGGGAAGTTGCTCGGCTCAAGTAATGTTAAATATTTATTCCACGTACGTGTATATCACTTCAATATCTAGACTAATGCACACATTAAGTGTTTTCCCTGCGTGGACTCACTCTTGACTCTTGAATATGTTTATTATATGATGCTGAGCACTGATTTGTTCTGCTTGCTTAAGTCTGGGCTCCATTAAACTGTCGTTATAGAAAATATGCTGCGAGGGCAGGCTAATAAAGCATCTTTATGAAGCCCGTCTCTTATGCAGTCACAAAACAGAGCGAGAGTTAAAAGCCCAGCACAGTGAAGAGGAGTTAGAGGTCGAAAAGATTAATGGAAGGGGGGGAGTGGGTGACAGCGTCACAAGAGGGGTGAGAGAGTCTACGTGAGCATGTGATGTTGACAGAGGCTCGGAGGAGTCAGCCAAAGGCCCTGAGTGAACTTAGACACGTGTGTGTGTGCACGTTTATGTGAGCATGAAAAAGAAACCCTATCTTGGCTCACTGTCAAATGGCTAATTATTATTCTGTCACTGTACGTCATTATGTGACACAAAGCAGATCCACGATGAAGTCTGGAGAAAACAGCAACAATCAAACCCTAAAGCTTCTCTCCAATTAAAAGTCTTTATAATAGTGAGTGGACATGAAGGTTTGAAGTCGGTGCAGATCAACACGAGGCAGAGTGAATCTGAGTGGAGCCTGAATGTTTCGAATGGTCTTCATTAAAGGGATTTGAAGTGTTTATGTGTTGAGCCGGAGGCTAATCTGTGTTCAGATATCGTGACACGAAGGTGTCACAGCCCTCGTCCATATACACAGAAGCAGAGCAGGAAGTATTGAAGCCCAGTGACGCAGGAAGGAGATGTCTTTATAAACCATGTCTCCTAAACACACTTCCTTCTGTGTCACCTCTGTTTTCATTTATCAAGTTCTATTTTTTAACTTCTCCATCTTGTTGTGCACTAACATTAGACAGATGCTTCTTACTGGAACCTAAATTTCAAATATTTAATTCCACTCACTCCCCTGCATCACAGTTTTAAAACAGAAACTGCAGAAGGTGGAAGTGAATAAAGTTCTCCTTCTTTACCATCATGTAAAGATATAAGATAAAAAATTGAACTGTGCTCAGACACAGAACACAAACTATATCTGATAAGCGAGGCCATCTAGACATGAATTTGTCAAACTGATTTTTAAAATGGTTTGAATGATGTTAGCCACGAGCTAAATCCCAAGCAAATTCCAATTAAAGCGATTAAGAAAAGGCCATTTCCTGTTTAACCAACCCCGTCCTCCACATATTTTATCAGACGGTAATGAATTCTGTTATGTAAAGGTCAGTGTGATATGATCAGCAGATTTTGTTTCCTTTACATAAATCATTGTTGTGTGGATGTGTGCATGCACATGTTTAGTTAAGCCCCCTCCACCAATCATCAACACTGACAGTAAATATAGCAAAAATCAACCACAAGAAAGAAGGAAAATCTCTACAGAACAAAACCCTTATCTGTCTGTCCCTTTATCAGCCTCCATCACTTATCACCAATGCACTGCAGTAGTGCACGTTCTCATTGACGTCATCATTCCATTGATAGGAATATTGGTGTTGTAGTTACACTAAAGGTACAGCTCTTGATCCACGAACCCACCTGAGAAATGGAAGCAATTCTCCCCTGAAAACACACACAAGTGTCCGTGTTGATAAAAACTCAACCAGAGGCCAATTGAATACAATCCAAACCAATTGTCCTGCGTCTCTCCTTGCAGCACACAGCAGCTGCTTTGCTGTAAAACCAGCGGTTCTCAGACAAAATCAGTTACAGAGTCAACATTTATACCAACTTCACAGGTGTTCAAACTGGAATTGAAACCTGCTATACACTATGATATAAAATGAAGAAGGTTTTTTGAACATATTTTGTAGTAGTAAATTGCACCATGATTTGTTGCTTGGCCAATTTCTTTTCAAAAACTACACTGTTGCATTATAACAGTAGTGGGAAGGGCTGTGCAGCAGCAAGATAAAGCAGTGAACTCAATATATCATTGTGCCTATAGTATTGCAGTATATTGCAATATATCGTATAATTGTCCCTGTATCATCATAAGTACCGTATCTCTAGATTCTTGCTAGTACACACTCCTAATATTAGCAGACATTAGACCAAGACTTATTATTTTGAACTACTTCCAGGATGATACCATATTTTTTTAACTCTGATTAAATGTTCTTTCCTCAGTTTTGTGCGTTGTCTTTTGGTTGTTCACCCGTGCTCGTGTTTGTTTGTTGCAGTGGTCACCCTGTACTCCACACTCGGAGGCCCTGCTATCGCTCTCGGGTTGAATGAGACTGAGGTCACACACATCATCACCAGCAGAGAGCTTCTGGAAACCAGACTGAAGGTAGGAACACACAGACCTACTGAGTGATCAGAGATAAGGGCAGGACGACAACAGCAACAACAGCACGATTTCATCAACAATGATGGAGAAATGAGCCACATTTGGGTATTTTACGCCACTGCCTTCTCTGTGACAAACAGCATATATAACGTTTCCTAAATAACTAAAAACAGCCATGTTAATGAGTGGTATCATTAATAGCTGTAAATACTCCATCCAGAAACACTTGAGCCTGGGGCTGTCTCAGAGGGACAGTTTCTCTGAGTCATCCCCTGAAACTTTTCCCACTCCGCCTTCAGATCCATCATGTGATGCTGGGCTGGATAATTCAGCAAACACAAACAGGCCTGTAGGATGGATGGTATCACACAATGATGCATGGTATTACAAATATTTGTGTAGTTCAGTTTCGCACAGTATCTGTCAGTCAGCTTAGACCAAATAAAAACTTTTGCTGTCAAGGAACGAGTGGCATCGGAAATGAACCACAAACTCCACCGTGCCAAGAAACGGGTTAACGGCTCCTTCATTTCCATCATCACCATGAATTCACCATTTAACAATTATTTTGTTTTTTTTTTAATTTAAAAAAAAGTTTTAAATGTCAGTTTTCCAGTTGGCAGACATCGTTGTTGCTTCCCTCGGCCTCCAGTCTTGAGCAGATGTTCATTCAAAGCACTAATACTGTGTCAAAGGTCAGCGCTGTCTTCAATGAAAAAAACAACAAATCATTGGAACATTTTAGGGACATTTTTGGACGTTTTAGTAAGGAACAGTGTCGCCATAGAGATTTAAAAATAAACCACCGTGCACGTGCTGTGTTTGTCTGCAGAGATTAAATCTGTCTATTTTATCTCTACCTTTTTATCACGTTCACACATCCTGTGCTTTGGACCAAATAACATTCAACGACGACCATTTTCAGTTCTTACATGTCAGAGAAACACATTTTTCTTGTTGTCCATGAATATTGTACACCTGCCATGGTTTATGTTCATCTGTGTGTGTGTGTGTGTGTTTCAGGATATCCTCATTGAAGTTCCAAGGCTGCAGCACATTATTGTAGTGGATAACAGTACAAAGTTATGGCCAGACCTCCCTCATGGCATCAGTATCCACAACATGGCTGAAGTTCAGGAGCTGGGAGTCCAGCCTGACAATGGTGGGTTTGTGTGTGAACTTTTTTTATTATTCATTCATTCATTCATTCATTTTAAAACACATGCAATTTATGCTTAGATGTGGCAACAGCTGATAAAAAAGGGACATGAAGAAAGTGATTCTTCTTCTATCATGTACATGATGAGGAATCACATTTGACTTCCCAGGTCACTGTATCAAATTTAGTGAAATGCCCTATCATCTACATGATGAGGAATCACATTCGACTTCCCAGGTAACTGTATCAAATGTAGTGAAATGTCTTGAATCAGACTGATCAAAAAGAGTCAACAGAAGAGCAGGAAGGGAGGAATAAGACTGAGACGTAGAGGAGGCTAATGTTAACATACACTGTAACACTGTTAACTTCACATCAGCTCTGAGAAGTCACTCCTACACACCTCAGCTTAGTGAGAAAAAAAAAAAAATTAAAAAACCAAGCTCCACCCTTTCTCTGTTTTTTTTTTCCCGGCCTGCTGTAGTCACATGTGCTACTTCATCCTAAACATAATGCAGAAACGAGAGCAGTCTCCCCTCAGCCATGTTAGGGTTCACTGCAGCTGGACCAGCAAACCATAAACAGACCAGTCTGAGGATCACAGTCATGTGGTTTCCTGCCTCAGGAATATAAATGTCTGCTACAGCTAGTGTCTCAGAGATAGTACAGGCAACGGTAAATATGATTGTCTGAGATACCGCCACATTATCAAGGCAGACTGCACTGAACACACACACACACACACACACCCTGCACCAGCCTGAGAGTGGGAGACAGATGTGAGCAGTGATGTGGATCTGTGACTCACCTCTGTCCTATCTCTCATAAACCTGCGGCACTGTGGCATCTCCTAGGAGAGGATACCTCCAAGTCTCATTGCACTCGTGAACAGTAATAAAATATATTTATTACTGCGTTCTGTCGAGGCTGTTTCTATCCATGCATTTCAGAACGCTATCATATACCGCCAGAAAAACTCACATCCTTGGAAAACTTAAGGAATCCTGCAAATTAGTTTGAGTCACAATAAGAAAAGACTCACCTCATAAAAATATCACAACAGAAAAATTAGCAATTATTTAAAAAAAAAAAGTTGAATTAGACTGGGGAGTTCTACACAACTCTCCATTGTCACATATGAAGCCATGTCTCAACATTACAGCTGCAGGTGATCGTGAGCGACCGCTGCCTTCGGACATCGCTGTCATCATGTACACCAGTGGGTCCATGGGTGCGCCGAAGGGCGTCATGATCTCCCACCAAAACCTGCTGGCTGGAGTTACAGGAATGGCTGAGCGGATTCCTCATCTGTGGTAGGGATCGTGCAGATCATGTGCAGGCTGCTAACGCTAACTGTCTATACAGTTAACTGTTAACCTCAGACGTGCGTTCAGACACACCTGTACTGTGTTAACCTCAGACGTGCGTTCAGACACATCTACTGTACTGTATGTTCAGATATTCCTAAGAACATCTTGGTGTTTGCAGTGAGGAGGACACCTACATCGCCTACCTTCCTCTGGCACATGTCCTGGAGCTCAGCGCAGAGCTCGTGTGTATTTGTCACAGCTCCCGTATCGGCTACTCTTCACCTCAGACCCTGTCTGACCAGGTAGAGTGAAGGTTTCCTGCCATTCAACAACCTTTTCTTTTATCTAAACTGAATATTATTCTGTTGCTGTTTTGTTCCTCCTCACATGAGGCTGGACAGATAAAAACACATTTTTCCAGAGACTAACTAAAATAAACTGTTTCTTCTCTACTGTCCTCATTGTATTTTTTTTTCTTCTCTTTGAACTAAAGTCGACGAAGATCAAGAAAGGAAGTAAGGGAGACACCAGCGTCCTGCAGCCCACTCTAATGGCAGCGGTTCCCGTGAGTCAGTTCAAGTCCATCTTATTTTTATTTTTTTTATAGTTTGAAGTCACAAAACAGTCACTTGGCTTCACAGATTTGACGTTACTTTGAATTAACATTGTCCTAAAAGAGGTCTTTTAACAGCAGGACTGTAGATATGGTCCATATTTTATATTGACTTTAAATGAACAATTCAAAACAGAGCAGAATAGGTTTTACAATTTAAAGGACTAGTTCAAGACATTTCTCTGTCTGCAGACTAAAGTTTTCTTTATCAATTAAAATTTTATCTTACTGATTTTTTTTCTCTCCAAACAACAGAAAGTATCTGTGTCGATGTATGTCTGTATGTAATGATACGCCTGTATCTACATTTATTTTAAAGGAACATAAAGGTCATAACGTCGGTGCTTATTCACAATGACAATGGAAAATCACTGATTTTTTTTTTCTTGTTAGCCAACTAGTTTGAGAAATTACACCCTCTCTGGAGAATTGAGTCTCTTCTCTCGTCAACTAACCAAAGCCCCCGCCCCGCCCCACCCTCCCTGTCGCTCATCTCTCATCTCCCAGTGGTCGTAGTGTAAAGGTCGTTGGGCCCCAGTGTCTGGAACCATTCACAGCTGTAAACAGAACGTGAGAAAGCCCCATGTGGTTATCCCCACGACACACACACACACACACACACACACACTCACACGCACACTGACACGCACACAAACTGTTTGCTGTGATATGACAACTGGCCGGTGCATTAGTCCTGCGCCGACTTCCTCTCTCAGTGCTCGGGCTTCACACGCATGCACTCATACTCCACACACACACACTGATACACACCCACAGGGACCAGCTGCTTTAACTGTTTTTGATTTCTTCTGCCCTTTACTCTATTTGATAGACTCCACCATGTTACATCACTTGGTTAAAAGGATATAAGTTTCAGTTCAGAGTTTGTTTTTTTTATAACAATACTGCAACTTGGAGTATCTGCCGATACTTGTATCATTTCACTGCCTTCTTTTCTCCTCCGGCATGCAGCAGGCCGGCGTTGCTGAGGCGATAGTGTATCTGTTTACGACATGTCTCACAAAGTAGCGTTAAGAATTTGGTCGGATCGGATGGGCAACAGTTTTTGTTTTCCAATGTTCGATCCTGAATTTGGCCCAACATCGGACTGATACTGATCCTGAGTATTGGATCGACTCCTCCCTAGTTCTAACCCCACAAATAAAACTTTCTGTACAGGGGTTTGTGGAGTTAGAATTAGATAATATGTAGCATGTTTAAAATAATCAGATGAATGTATACTATGTTTTATTTAAATGGTGGTAATTGGCCCAGTTTAATAATAAACACAGCTCTGCTTTAATTCTGTTCATGCGAACAGACTTTTGATCTCGCAGACCTCGACTTCTGCCTTTCCTTCTGCCACTGTAGGAGATCATGGATCGCATTTATAAAATAGTCATGACCAAAGTCCTGGAGATGAACTACTTTCAGAGAACACTTTTCACTCTGGCGTACAACTATAAGCTGGAGCAGCTTGAAAAAGGAAATGCCACACCTGTGTGTGACAGGTGAGAAAAATGTAAAGATGTGTTATAATAGGAAATGATCAAAGAGTTGATTTATTGTAGAAAACTATCAAAAAAAAATTCATTTTTTCTGATGGACCTAAGGATTTCTCTTCTTCCTCTCCAACTCCTCATTCAGGTTGGTGTTCAGGAAAGTTCGGGCTCTGCTTGGGGGTCGGACACGGGTCATCATGTCAGGAGGAGCGCCGCTCTCTGCGGCCACACAGCGCTTCATGAATGTGTGTTTCTGCTGCCCAGTGGGTCAGGGATACGGACTGACTGAGACGTGTGGAGCAGGAACAATCAGTGAAGGTGAGGAAGGATGCGGTTGTCTAAGGATGCAGTTCTACCTAACCACAAATGAAGAATAATGTCAGAATTATTGTGACCCCTGGTGTACATGTGGTGCCATACACACTAGGTCCTGGAGACTTCGTGGCGTGACTATTGATGGTTTTTTGAAGGAAAAAAAAAAAAAAAAGTGTGGGAAAAGATAGAGTGGCTCCCATTGCAGATTGTGTAACTTTCTTTCCCTTTGGGTTTTGGTACTGGAGTAGCCATTATTAAAACTTTTTAAATCATTAAAAGCCATCATCGGATATGAGATAAAACAGGTAAAACTTGTAAAAAAACATCGGATATGAGATAAAACAGGTAAAAATTAGGAGAAAAAGCAGCAAACACATTTTTGATGTTAAGAACTTCATGGCTTTCATTAAGCTCATATTTAGCTTCAGTAGAGATTGAAGACTGTGTTTTCAGTTGCAGCAGGTATATGTGCCAGCCACACATGAAAAAGTCTTGTTAGTTGTTTTAAGATTACATACGTTTGTTTTGTTTTTTAAAGGGAACTCCTTTTTAAATTTTAAAAACAGTGGCGATAGTGGAAGCATGTGACCCCCGTGTGATCTGAACTGTGCAGCTGATCCGATTGGCGTCCACCGCTAACATATTAATGAAACATTACAAAAGCCTCCCAGCCTTTCCCAGGCTGCTGCCTCACTCCCCGCTGCAGTCAGAGCAGGCAGGAAAACACTGTTCTGCCGATATTCCTCTGGGATGGGGTTTCCATGACGAGGGAACCAGTGAGGTCATGTTGCTATGGTGAAACATGTCATGCCTTGATGCTTGCACATTGCCTGACAGTGTATGTGTGTTGTGTTTCAGTGTGTGATTACAGCACTGGGAGAGTAGGAGGGCCACTGGTTTGTAGTGAGCTAAAGCTGCAAGACTGGGTGGAGGGTGAGTCCAACACACCCACACATATCCACAATCACATGACTTACATTACTTGATGTTGTGCATTTTGTCCAAATATATATTTTTTATGAATTCCTCCATAATCTTTGGAAAGGGTTTTCCCTTCTTTCTCTGCTCAGCAGATGAAAACAAATCCTAGTAATAAATGGCCACAACTCTTATTCAACTCTTTCACAGCTGAACAACTGTCTCTGTTTGGATGTTCATGTCTCTGTATGGCAGCCAATACTGTGTGATCACAACATCTCCACCTGACATGGCAGCTGTTTCGTAACCTTGTATGGAAAGATGATGCTTTTCCATTTCTCCTAAATGTCTTTCATGTCTTTGTGCATCAGATCGTACTGTATTTTATTACCCCTTAAATTACATACTTATCTTGTGGACTTTTATTGGATGCTCAGGGAGTAATAACATGCCGCGAAGTGACAAGTCACCAAATTTACTGAAATCATGAGGAAGTTTGCTTTTTGTTTTTTTTTATTGATTGATTATGAGCAATGTTTTTAATATGAACAATCAGTTGTGACTCA